ACACACACACACACATATATATATATATATATATATATATATATATATATATATATATATATATATTTTACGTATCTCTTCTTCCACCTCTAACCCACCTCTTGGTTTTAAATCAATTCTACCAAGGTTGGGGGTAGGTGAGTTGGCTACCTAGTTGAATACATTTCAGAATGAAGAGCCAAGTTGCAACTACCTCCTAATTTTATTATCTAAAATATTAATGAGGTATTTTTGGAAATGGCATAAGATACTGAAACTTTCTTTGAAAAATGCCACCTATCCACTTAAAGTAATAATAATATAATTAAAAATATCTATTAAGAAATCAAGAGGGCAAGAAGGAGTCTAGCTGACGCCAAGGGAATTATCTATGGGAACACTGAGAGCAGGAAGAGGAAAATAAGAAGAATGTGAACAATAGGAGCTATGGAGTTTCACTTGGGCCTAATGCAGAGAAGCTGTAAAAGCTGTCAAGAAAAGTGATTGATTGGCTCTTGCATTCCAGTCCCTAGTGCAAAGCAATAATGTTCCTGCCTCTTTGGAGACAGTTTTATGTGCCACTTGGGGTCACCGCTTATCAGACGGAGGGGGCCAACATTTCAAATGAGGCTAAAGTGCAGTCGATAATTCAGATGAATTTGTGCATGTAGTCCCAAAGTGAAACAAGTCAAAGCACTTTACGCTGATAGTGATATTTGAAGGTAAATATGAGTTACAATTTGTAGCTGATTTCATTTGAGATGGAAAAGAGTAGATTTTTTAAAAAGAAATATGAGAAATCTGCAGCCCACCCTTAGAATCTCAAATAGTTTTGGCCTCATTCTATTCAAGTTAAAGGTAGACTAGGTTTACTGTGTATACAAGAAAAAGGAAACTGTATTAGCTGCTTGGATCACTGCAGGTCAAGGAAAGTTCAAGTCAATGTGCCCCTCATAAAAAACAAGAAAAGCAATCACCCAATGTGCTTGGGGAAAAATACAAGAAAATTGACCATTTAATTTTGAGAAAGTGTAAAGGAAACATTTTAAGGTTTTTTTTTTGTTGTTTTTTTTTGTGGGAGAAGCCTTTCAAAATATCACTTTCTAGGGATAAAATTACATGAGATACTTCTTTGTAAAGAAACCAATTGTAAAGCATCTGTGTGGATATTAGAATAGTGGCACTAATTTAGTTTGTTTATACAAGAAGCAATAGATAATCTGTCTTTTTAGTAAGTTACCTAATTCTAGTAGAAGCTAGCAAAGGATGTGGGCTGTCATTATTTACAGTTCAGTAAGCTTATTAAAGGACAGAACCTTTCAAAGTGCTTGAATACATTTCAGCTTCTCTGACACAATATAATATCTTTAAAGTGTAGAAAGAGCAAGGGAAGGAATCATTGCTTTTGGCTTCTAAAAAGCTTAAGACTTCAAAGAGAGCTATTTGAGATCTAGTTTTCTTCTAACATAATAGGTTTGCTTGACCTCTTTTTTGTTTCGTGACTTTATTTCTAGAAAGGCTAGTATTTGAGTACAAATTGCATTGCCTGAATTCATGGATTCTTTAATGGGTTTAAAAGACACAAAACTCACAATGGCAGTGCTTTTTATTTTTCTTTTTTTAACCAGGCACAGATCAAATCAAACCCCTTTGTGACAGATGGTGTAGCATACAAAGTCCTTAAAATCATTATATGGTCATCCAAGAAAAACACGCCATACTATATTCCTTTTTATTTACAATCACATAATTTATAAATACATAGATTGTATTATAAATATAATACCAGATTCTTACTACTATAGGACACAGTTCTCATGCAAGTGCTCTGATTCCTGTATTCTGACATCTTGCCTGTGAATGATGTAGAAACATTCCTGAGACTACCATTATCTTTCTTTGGATACCAGTTATCAGTCCCTGTCATTTGCTATAATGAAAAAGCAAGTATTTGCATACTGTTATGAAAGATGTGTGCTGTGTGTGAAGAACAGGGAATGGGACATTGACTAATCAACTTGTAATAGACTAAAAGTTGCAGGACACATATCAATACTTTTTGTGGCCTAATTCTGTTAGAACTTATATAGAGCAATATGAATACATAATCTTACACATTTGACTGTGCAGCAATCCACAACAGTCCATTGATAATTAATGATAAATTGATAAAAGCTCATATTTTCAGTTTTCACCATTTTACTCTGTAGTTCACTCTGAAACCTTAAGGGCATGAGTGTCAAACTTGCGGCATCACGCTGCCATCACATGATGTTTTGCTATGTTTTTCCCCTTGGCCGAGCTGAGATGGGCGTGGCCTGCACATGACACATCGGTTTGCGGGCCACCAGTTTGACACCCTGCTTTAGGCCAATGACAATATATATGTAATAGCAGTTGAATTGAAAAGGATGCAATTAAAATAAAGCTGGTTTAAAAATAAATCTTTCTTTTTGAAAGCTGCTCCTCGTTATTAAGGGCACATTGGCTTTGGTATTTTTGCCATTCCCAACCTCTTCAAAGAGGAGACAATAATGTCTTTAAATAGTATGTGAAATTTAATACACACTTGCATATTGGGAAAATGGAGCCCAGTGACTTTCACTATTTTTCAGCTGCTTTTTTAAATTGCTGTTTTAAATTCCATTGAGTGGAATAATAAAGGAGTGATCATGTCTACTAGTTGGCCTTTGTAAAGACTGACTGACTAAGAGGCTTTATGATTTACAGAGGCCACAGCTGGCTGCCAACTGAGCTGCAGGGATGTATTCTCTCTTGGGTCTGGTAGCTAAAGATGAAAAGGACCCCAGAGCTGGCACAAAAGCAAATAAAATGCTTTGACTTTAAATAAAGCATCATAATTTATATGAGGCTCTGCTTTTCAGTCCCAATAAGATTCATGAATCAGCCGCAGCTTTTGGAGCTTGTGCTTATCTAACTGTCTGATCCTACTGTATTTTGATAACCATATCCTGAAATAGACATCATTATTTTTACCTCCTTATATCCTCTCCATTCCCTTATCCCCGCTTTCTTATTTCAAGGAACAGAATCGACTCCTTCCTCCTAATGTTTCATTATCTGTTGTTGGATATTTTCCTATTGTTCACACCTGGCAGCCTTTTATAGCCATAGAAAACAGTGGGAGAGTAATTGCCAAATACACCTTGAGGTTTATTTACTTATGGTTTACATATGCCCTTCCTGCTGAGTTCTTTCTAAGCCTTTCACTGTTTTGAGAGCAGGAAACAAAGAACTCACAATATCATTTTAGAAGTTAGTATATGCAAGGTTTGGTGGAAGTTTAAAGGATTTTTTTTTTTGCACAGGTTTGTAATACAGTCTTATTAAATTGTTTATAGTTGCCTTCTTTGAAGTCTTAAAATAAAGCAAGATGAAGGAAATAATTGTCTTTTAAAACATAAGTTTAAATGTGTAACTTGATAAATGTGTGTTTAATGTGAAAGTGGTTACCCTCTTGAGGCCTGTTCCTGTTACATATTTTTAAAGAATAACATTCTTGGAGAGATGAAAAAAATAACTATTTTTAACACTAAAATTGAAGACACTGGAATAAAAGTAAATAAGTCAAGATGGAAGATTTCCGAAACATTTAAGTCCTTTCTGTCCAGTTTGAACAATCTTTCCGGGGTTCATATGAACAAACTGAAAGTGTTCATACATTCAAATGGTAGAAAAGATAATCCAAAAAGTTGTTTGTATAATCTTCCCTTGATAACAAAAGAGAATTGTTCTGCAGTTAGTGTTATGAATGTGATATTTTGGGATTTTTCAGCAATGCTTTTTAAAAGGTATGGGTGTTTTTTTTAAAGAAAATCTACATTATTTTAAAATAATACAGCTT